ACCATTTTCACTATTTGGACTTACTGTTGGGTCTTTCTTGTTGATAAATTCTCTTAATGTAATAAGATGTAAATCTTTTGTCCCTTTTATCAGTTGCCCATTAGCAGCCCATAACGATCTATCCATCTGGGGTGCTGGGTAGAAACTTCTATTTTCCTTTTCTATTTTTTTAAAGATTGATTTATTTATGTATAAAAGAACTGGGGTGTAGGCCAGAGGTGTGTGGAGTAGGGGTGAGGTGATTCACCAGACAAAGTAGGGAGCAGAACAGGTGGATTGATTGAAATGCACTGCTGAGGGGAGCAGTGGGTGAGACAGGAGAGGTCTGCTGTAACATGTGGGTTAGCTCCCTGGCCAGGGATCAAACTCATGTAGCCGTGGCTGCAGATAGCTTCATGGTGCTGACACTTACCCCTTATGCCACCAGGGAGGCCCCTATTTTCCTTTTAATAAATATATGTGAGTCACTCACTCAGAATTCAAAATTGATCCTTATCTTGAGGAACCACCAATTTCAGGTTTATTTTGAATGTTTACATATGTGCAAAATTATCAAGGAAAACTCTTGGTAAGGGAAGTTGTGTGTGTGTGTGTGTGTGTGTGTGTGTTTAAGTGCTAGTTGTTGCACCTAGAAGTCCAACAAGACGCACTACACAAAATGTCTCTCTTGGGATATGTCCTACTTCTTCTAAACCTATTCTTGGGACATTAAATACTTGAACCATTCAGAACAAATATGTAATGCAGAAACCAGGTAGTGACAGTGTCATGAGTCAGCCTGCTTCTGCAGCTGCAAACTAGACATGCTTGGGATGAAGTTCAGCTGAGGTTCCCTGACTGAAGAATTACCTAACAGGTGGTAAGCCCATCACAGCATGAGCACATCAGACCAGGAGAACAAGCTCATAAATAGAGTGTTATGAAATAGTGTAATAATATGATGAAACCTAATACAATTAAAAAATTTTTAAGTAAAAGCAACCTAAATATTTAACATTAAAAATGTGTTGAAGTGAATTATTTATCCACTAGATAGAATATTGTGCACATAATAAAAATCACAAAGATTTCTTGTGCTGTGAAGAAATTATGACAGTATTTTGTGAATGCTAAAGATAAAATATACACCTATGTCAATGACTTCAACTATGTAACAAAGCACAGAATAAAAACTAGGGGATTAAAAACACATGATAATATTTAAAATAATGTGCTTTTTCTAACTCGATATTTTTTAGTTTAGTTTTGATAGAGTGTGCACAAGTTAGGCCCTTGAGACCTGAAAATCAGTTAAGACTTGAGAGTCTCCTGTGAATTCTGTGGTAGACAAAATCATCTAACTGACTTGAGAGATCGTGTGTGTACAAAGCTATATGACTGTGAGGACATGACACATCACCTTTGGCTTCCTCATCCATTTGTTGGAAAAAATCTACCTGAAAAAATAAGGTATATGTGTCCATTTCAACCCAAAATTTTGTGGGTCCATCTAAAGGGTCATTTAGTAGTGATTAACAGTTTATGCCTTGCAGCACAGTGCAGCCGGTTTGACTGGTAGTTCCACTCCAAACTACCTGTATGTGTTCTGAGTTGTTATGTGTCACTCAGAGCCTCAGTTTTGGCATCTATGAAATGGGAATAAAAATACAGCCCATGATTTTTTTTTTTTTTTCAGATTACGCAACAATGATGCTTGTACACCTTGCAGTACTTGACTTTGGTCAAATGCTTAACTACATATTGGTTATTATCATGAGCTCATTAAAGGCAGCAAAACTTCCTAAGACAAAATGATCACACATATAGATAGCACTCCCCAGAAAAGCATATTTTATTGCTTTGAAAAATCATAGGTAGATAAAATGTAAAATGCCTACATGTTACAAATGTTAGCCTTTTAGTTTATGTTGTTATTTAAGGAGAATTGTCAATTTTAGGAGTATGTGACACCACTCCTTTAGACTTATGAGATCAGTGGTGACTGAGTCAAGTTAACTGCTCTTTACCTCCAGTTCAGTTAGGATTTTTGCCTCACAAATATTGCTTGTGCCAAAGCTCTGAGTACTCAGTTTTCCTGATTTTGGAGGTGAGAGGGGACTCAGTTTTCACAGACTAGTGGAGAATAGGTCCAGGGTAAGTGGCAGAGGGTTAAGGTTTAGGGGTTCCTACATTACCCTTGTGAACTGTGGACTCCTGGGCATAGGATGCTCAACCTTCCCTTCTCGGCTTTCACTGTGTCTGTCTTTCACCAGATGTTTGATAGTTTGACAACTTCACTTCTACATCATCTCTGTAAGCATAAATATAAACAGGTCATAAAATGTGAATCAGAATTCCCCATAAAGAAAATTCCTCTTGGGATACCAGCAAAGTAACTTCTGACTGTTTCCTGAGCTAATTAGTTACCCTCCCACAGCTAGTAATACCACTGATACAAAATACATTGGTTTCCCTATTAGTTTCCTCACTTTATTTTGCAGAAATTCAGGAAATGTGGAAATTAAATCATTCCTGAAGCTATGCTTTATCATATGTCAGAGTAAAATTATCCAAATGCCTCCTGTCCACATGTAGTTTCAATTTCCTGAAGCTAATTTCTTCACTCTAATTACAAACACTCCAAGAAGAGCTAGTTTTTTTGCAACTCAGCAGGAGAGCAAGTAACTTATTTCATCAGACGGACTTGAATGCAGAAGGTTTCCAGATCTGACTGAATACAAAGTGCGAGATAAATGTCCACTAGTGTCTGCTATTATTACTGAACTTTTAGTGCTAAAGGTCACTAGGAAAATAGCCTCCCAGCTGTCTGAACCTTGTGCCTAATATTTCTAAAGAAATCTTGCCCTGGTAATAGGTAACATGGAAAACTGAAACCTGTTACTTTTTTTTTCCCCTAAAGGTAAGATGTAAAACGTGAATGTTTTAGACACATTCATTAAATCCAGGTGTACTTTTAAGTATCTTGGCTTTTTCTGATGAAAAATAAAAATATGTATGTCATCTGAGAGGATTCTGCTTTTTCTCTTATTGCTCTTGCCTTCACCCCCGTAGTTATACTGGGAAAGAGAAAGATGATTATCAAGTCTCAGACAGCGCTGGAACTTCTTATGTTCTGACTAGCATTGAGCACGATGCCTTGATTGACTCTCTGTTTTTTCTGGCTAGAGTGCACTGAGTCTATTGAATTATCATGTTGTTCAATATTATTCAGCAAAGGATCAAATAATGCTACCTGTTTTAGAAGCAGAACTTTCCTGCCTCCTGCTATCTATCCATCACACAACCTCCCTCCCTTTCTTCAGTTTTTAATCTTGTCAAGTTCTAAATTTGGTTCCTAGGGAGTGTTGTATCAAAACAAACAAAAGCAATTCTATTTTCATTACTCTCACGTTTTTAAAAGACATGGTTAGCTTTTCATTTCCTTGGTCTAAATTCTTTTGTTAATGCATCTTTACAAAATACTCTGGCTCCAATCTTGCCATGATTGAAAAACTTTGAAAATAGTAATATCTCACCATTTATTTTTAAATTTGAGGGCACAACAAAAAAGCATCAGAACTCATAGTGCTTTTTTCTCTCCATATCCCCTTCATTTTCAAAACATCAAATAGAAGCTGAGGCATCTAATTCAGTAAAATATTGTACTATCCACCACTTATTAATGGCTTATGATACACCAGGAAGTAAGTTAGGTGCTTGTCATTACTTGATTCAATAATTCAAGTTCAAAGTAAAGGAGATATAAGCGTTCACATTCTCCATGGAGAAACTGAGATTTTGAGACATTAATTTCAAATAGGTAGGTAGAAACTGAAGCCAGAATCTGATCCCTGAGCTCTGTGTCATTAGAAGGTCACCTTCAAGAACATGTGTTTGGTGAGGGTGATGGGGAAATGTAATATAAAGTGAATCGCGTGCTGTTATATCAGTGAAAGCTAGCTAAAATTAAGGTACCAGGGTGTCTCTCTGCCTGGAAGACGCCAGTGTCTAGTCAGCCACAGAATCGACCTCATGTCCTTGACATACCTCAAAGAAGGCAGCAAGCCTCTCTGTCTCTCATACCCCATGTTCTGACCCATCCTTTACAATATTTTTATAAAGTGAAGGTGGCGACAAGAAACTAACATATAACTGCATAAGTTGTATAATTGCCTTATTTCTTAGTTTAGGAAAAGATGGTCGTATTTTGAAACTAAATTGAATAAGTAGAATTTCATGCCTACACTGAATCTAGTGCTTGCTGGTTTATACATATTCTTTGAAAGAGAACAAAAGTCGATGATTATGTATTTGGATTTTTTTTCTGTATATTTATGGTTAGCATTGAACTTCTCCAAAGAAAGTGTCTCCTGTTCAATATTTTCTTTGTGTACTTAGTGATAGAAGCCACAAGAAATAGGTATCCATTAATCTAATATTATGAATCCTTATTGCAAAATAAGAATATTTCCCCTTGGGCTCTGTACTATTTTCTCTTCCTCTACGAACATGGAAAATAGGGAGTTGGTTTCAGATGAGACTTTTTCCATCTCCCACACACACATGCAGAATGCTAAACATTGCCAAGTTCTTTATTAAATTGCAAATCAATTGCCCGACTATCCACCTGAATAAGGAATGTTCTAGAGGCCTTCAGTTTTTATTTTAGCTTATTGTGATTTTCTGATGATGATGATGCAAGCTTTTACAATGGGCAGAATTGGCATCCATTTTCTTGAGCAACTGGAAATCCTCACCCTTTTAAAAGCAAAGTTACACGACTGACTAATATCACATTATTTCTCCAATTTAAGGTAACATTTTCTGCCTCTTGCAAATTAATGTCACATCTCCACTTGGAGAAAAGAGTGACATTTGGCATTTGTCTCTCCAAACCCAAATTGCTGACCTTTTGTTTTTAATACTTTGCCATCTTGCTTTCGCTTTTTTAATTTGCTTGTGACTCTCTGCTCCCCATCTTTTTTTTTTGGTACAATGATTCTTACCTTGTCTTTCCCCAGTCCGTTTCTGACCTGGCGAGACGTGCAGCATGTTATTGTCAGGACTTCCCGTGCAGGACATTTGAACGCTAATGACTGGAAAACCAATGCTGCTGGTTTTAAGGGTGAGAACTTCTTTCATATTCTGTCACAGGCAAAATATTTTTATTTTTCCCCCTTTTTCAATGAGAGCAGGAAATAGAACCCCTCAAAAGAAACTTGCAATTTTGTGCTGACCCAGGAAGAACTTCATCTCTGAGTAAATAAAAGGCAGAATTTTTTTTAATTAAGACACCACACCTAAGACTAATTTCCTTGACTTTGCATCATAGGTCAATGTCTTAAAAGATCAACCAAGTTCCAAGTATAGAAGACCTATGGGATTCCAAATTAGTTTATTGTTTGCTATCATTATATCTGAGTGATATTTGCACCTGTATTTTAAATTTCTGGCCTTCTATAGAGATTACTTACAATAAATAATAACTGGTATATCTTACTTAAGTGCAGTGCTGTTAGTGGCTAGGGTATTCTAATTTTTGTCTTAAAACTTCCACAGATAGAAAAACAGGTATAACTCAGGTTACTTTATAGAAACTAAAAGTTCTTATGAAGTTATATAATGTGCAGTGTTACACAATTATACACAGTATATAGTAAGTGCTGACTGTTTTTCCCAGGGCTGATCAGATTATAGTTCCTGCAAACTATTTTATTAGCAGTGGCCATTTTGTTTGTTGTCTTAGGTAACATGTTTTAATAAAGAGAATTTTATAATTATATAAGATGTTCTATAGTTTAATATATTTACTGACATTTCAGAGGCCCTACATTTTAATCCACTAATTTACAACAGAAATTACTTTTGATCTTATCTGAAGACTTAAATATTACCCCCCAATCCTATTATCATTATATGTCCCTGTGGATGAAAACCAGTATTCCACAGCATAGGCATTGAAGTTCTGGTCCTTAGAGCACTGTTAACATACTGAAAAATCCTGGACAAGTCATTGAATTTTTCTGAATCCTAATGTCCCCAACTTAAACATCTTAGAAGTTAAATAATATTGTCTCCATATAATATCCTGCATATTATTTTAACATATCCTTCGTGGATTATACCCAATGTATGCAGATATTCATGCCATCAACGTGTATTCATGCCATAAATGTGTATTTTTAAAACTATTTGCAAGTGACTTATTCTAATATAATTCTTAGCCAATACTTATAAATGTTGCAGGTAACCAATGGCATATGTGATAGTTATTTGATTGATCTTCACTGCAGATCTCTCCATTTTTAGGAGAAGAATATCCTTCTGCTTTTGAATATTGTCAACACCTTTCTAAGCTTGTAATCTATAGTATGCTGTAGTGTTCAGTGAACTTTTAATCTAAAGATTTGTAAATACCTGCCTGGGTCCTATTTTCTGATGCCTAGCTAGCATCAAAAATACTTGAAATTTCAGTGGTTCTAGAAAATCAGGATATTATTTTTTATATGTGTGTTTCATTTTGATTAGCTTCCCTATGCATTCTGCTCCTACCACGTAAATCCACAAATGGGGGATGGGGGCTAGGAAGGGGTAAGGAAGGGGCCAAAACATAACCTTGGCTGATTCAACACTGCAATCAACTTTTTAATGAAAGGTTCACAGACTACATTGTACATTGACCTCCATGAAACTGAGGAATCAACTTTAACCCAAATAAAAGTCTTAGTTTTACTTATTCCTTTTTGGCAACTTAAAATGAGCAAATGGTTCTAATAAAAAAAAAAATGTAGTCTTTTGAAAACTCCTGTTGGTTTTGGAGAGTGGGGTATAGAGGATTTAGAGACCATCAATAGATCCAAACCCTAAACTGAAGGGGGCTGCACTCTGCTTCTGGCAAGAAAGAAATAGCATTTTACTATTGCACGTGGCAATATTTAGTATAATATTTCACTCTTCTCTTAGATTGCTGCCAAGAGTAACAATTAAAGTTCACTTTTTCATAGATGAATTACTCTGAATGGTCTGGACTCCCAGTGGAATGGTTTTGTAATTTCGTTGATGGCAAGCCCCATATTTCATCTAAACATGATCATAATAATAAGAATTTTTTTTTTAAAAAAAGGACTTATTTCTTTCCTCCTCTAAGCATTACCATGCCTTCCCTAGTGCCCCACAAATAATAGTGATTAAGGCAGAGACTAGCAGGACAAACGATGTGTTTTGAGGAAGATGAGAATGCAGGTCACTAGTCCTGGAGAAAGATGGGCTAACTTTTTATGAAATAAGAACTGAATGAACAAAAAATAGCAAATGCTTGGAAGAAATTCATGCAATGAGAGCTCAGCAAGAGTTCATATTTTAAATTAGGTCAGTTGGCTTTTGCAGGCTTAGCTTAGCAGGAGCACATGGCCAAACATTTCTCCTTAGACAGGAGAAAACAGAAGTTGCCTGCAAACAGAAGCCTGTAACCACGGGTGCTCTCGCTCTTTCTATGCAACTCAGTCCTAATGCTGAGTCAGACATATGCAAGAGATGAATCTGAAAATACTTGTGCTTCCCAAGGCTTGCTTTTGTACCTTAATGTTGAGTAGTTTCACTTGTTTGAAGAGCTGTTTTAAAAAAAAAAAAATGAGAATAATTTTGCAAGTTTCTCAGTAAGGCCTCTTTTATAATGAGGATGTCAGTATCTGTATCGGCACCAGCATTCCCCATTAGGTAAAGCAGAAGCAGCTCTGAGTGGGTACCAACTTAAGTGGTTTAAGGGTTTTACATTCAATAGATATGATAGGCTTAGTTATCACTGATAACTTCAGAAAAGTCTCCACCCTAAAGAATAGTCTCTCAGGGCCTCCCCAGTGGTACAGCGGGTTGAGCGCAGTGCTGTGAAGCTGTTCACAGCCACTGCAGCGCCGGTTCGATTCCTGGTGGGCCAGGGAGATTCCCACATGGAAAGGCAGACCTCTCCTGTCTTGCCCACTGCTCCCCTCAGCAGTGTCTTTGGTCCTTCTGCTTGTTCTGCTCCCCGCTCTGTCTCTGGTGAATTCTCTCACCCTCCTGCCTCTGGCCTGTACCCCAGTGCTTATATAAATAAATAAATCTTAAAAAAAAAAAAAAAAAGAATAATCTCTCACCAAACCTTGCCAAGTCCATTCCACACTACATCCTTCCATTTCTTCAGAAATACCCATATATAAGTAGGAAAAGAACTTGATTTATGCTTATCCAGATGTGGTAAGGACTCAGAAAATGGGAGGAGTCCCTCCAGCAGCAGCTGCTGACTTCCTGTTGGCTGGCATGGACAGGTTCTCAGCAGGCAGGGACAGCCTGGAAAAGTTAAAGAATATGGCTCCCTAGCGACTATTGCTCTGCATGTTTCTCTTAGTGTGGGTTTACCCTGGAATGTATATAGTAATAGCTTGCAGAGGACTGTCTCCTCCTTAGTGCCCTTTGGGTTCTCTATAGTAGCAATCTAGAAATGAAGTTAGGTCATGGTGAAAGGAGTCCCAGAGATGACAACCACTCATCAGCATGTCTGTGCTAGTTGCACCTTCATTTTGAACAATGTAACATGGACTAAGATTATCTGTCCTGCTGCTTCTTAAAATATCTTGTAGGGCTTCTCTGGTGGTGCAGGGGTTAAAGATAAAGTTCTATCAAGGTATCACCAGCAACTGTGGCATGAGTTCGATCCCATGAGTTTGATCCCCAGCCAGGGAGCTTCCCACATGGCGCAGCAGACCTTTCCTGTCTTGCCCGCTGCTCCTCTCAGCAGTGTATTATAGTAGAGCTGCCTGTTCTGCTCCCCACTCTGTCTCTGGTGATTTCTCTCACCCCCTACGCCTATGGTCTATACCCAACCCAGTTCTTGTATGCATAAATAAATCAATCTTTAAAAAATAATCTTGTATAGTGTACTTAAAATGTCTAATACAGCATATTGGTTTTTCAAAATAAACAGTCCAATGATTATATACCTGATTAAACATTATTTTCATTGTCCTTGTAAATTAACCTAGCTAAATCTCAGACAATTCCTTTTGACTTTAAGCATCCTTTAGAAATGGTTTCTTTAAAAATAAATTCAATAGATACCACATACCCATCAAAGAACCTACCCAAGATTATGAATGACAGTAGGAAAGTATTTGTGTGTGACCAGATGAACAGAAGTGATATATATCACAAGAGAAGTAAAATCCAAATACTAGTATTTTGCTATTGGCCAATGTTTGCAAGGCCCAGAGGTACTTAGGCATTAAATTGTTTGAGGTTTTCCTTTGAGTATTATTTCTTTCTCCCTTCATTTTCCTCTTATGAAAAATCTTTGTTTTTGTTTTTGTTTTTTAATACTACCCCTGTCCTTAAAATATACAAATCAGCTGTAGAAGTACGTGTGGGTGGTTTTCTTCAAGGAATTTCATTATTTGGTCTCTTCATTTGTTTATGCACAAATATTTCCTTATCTTCAACATGCCAGCCTAACACATGTTAAAGTGTCCCAAAAAAGTGGAGGTGGAAGGAAATGTCAGGGGCCCAATGGCATTGCCTAATCTGATCTGACCACAGTATCATTTTCATAAGGAAACAAATTAATGCTGCTTTGTTTTTTCCCTTTGGTCAAGACCAAACACATCAGGTCATGTTTATAAAAGCGTTGATGATACTTCTCTCATCATCTAAATGCAGGCTAGCCTCTGTGACAGACGGCATCTGATGTAGACAATGTCTATTGTGGCGTATGATGGATATTTTGACCTGCTCTATTTGTGCATATTGGATGTGTAGATCCAAGAGCCACACTGGAGACTTCCATTCTGCATTGTTCTAGAATTCCCCATTTCAGAAAGAATCCAGTTCTTTGTTGTGACCTCCCTCTACTGCTTTAACCTGAGGAAAATAAGAATCAACCACCCTTTTTCTGCCCCAAGTGCCTGGGCTGTGCCTGCTGATTCTTTCCCCCCAAGTCCTTATAGTCCTTATCTCTGGTTTGCAGTTATTATAACAATGGAATGCATGCAACGTCAGTGCTTTTGTGTTGGTTTTTTTTTTCAAAGTGTCTGTATTTGGATTATGTGACTGTATACAGTTAAACTCTCTTAAATCTAGGAACAGGAATAGACGTCA